ATTTCATTGTTGTACAATCCCTGCCCTCAGTCCATGTAACTAGTATTTCATTTCACTCTTAGCTAGACATGTGTATAAAACTTGAAGACAAAAGTCTTTGGACATTTTTGCTGTTGTTAGGTGCTGTCAAGCTGGTTACAGCTCCATGATCAACACATCTGAACCTTACCCTATCCTGTGCCATAATCATGGTCTCTGTTATGCTCAAATACATTATAGAAGTCTCTGTGTCAATCAGTTTTATTGAGGTTCTTCCTTTTTCTCCCTGACTTCTACCTTTTGTACCATAATGTCTTTCTGCAAAGACTAGTTCTTTCTGGAAATATACCCAAAGTATATGAGATGAAGTTTTACAATCCTAACCTCTAAGAAATAATCTGATTGCACTTTCTTCAATGCAGATTTGTTTGTTCTTTTTGCAAGCAATGGGATGTTCAGTATGCTTTACCAAGACCATACTTCAAAGGTATCAATTTATCTTCTGCCATTCATATTCTTTGTCCAACTTGCCTTAGTCTTTATGCTGACATCTTTGCTCTTTAGGACTTTGGAGAGGTCCTTGACAGCAGATTTCCTCAATGCAACATATTTTCTGATTTCTTGACTACTGTTAAAATCAATGTTGGTTGTGGAACCAAGTAAAATGAAATCTTTGACAACTTCAACATTTTCTCCATCTATCATAATATTGCCTTGTGAAGGGAGTGAATGCAAAGCAGGGGTGGCCAAGTCTGACTTGTGCCTACTTCATAAAGGGGAATGTCCCATTAATAATATCCATAGCAGCAAATAGCTGCCACCCCCCATGCCCCTGCACCTCTTTTACCAGTCACTGAGTTCTATATTTTTGACTCACAGACTTTATTCACACTTGTGGTACATAATGTGGGGGTTATTAGGGAAATATCTTGGGGAGGAGAAGAGGTAAGTAATATCTTAAAATACAAGTCCAGTTTTAGTCCATCAGTTCCAAGCCCAATTAACAGTAAAACACAATTTTTAGTAAGTAAAAGTCCTGGCTGGCTTCAGTTCAGCAACACAAATTCAAGAATCCTCAGGTTTCCTCAATCATCCAACAAGGTTTGCCTCAGAGCAGTTAAGTCAGCTTCTCCTTCAAATGTGTGGCAAGAACAGCAAAACTATAAACTGTGGCCAGCATAAATGCAAGATGGGTCAGGTCACACCTTGCCAGTCTCTCCCATGCTCTTTCTCCAGTCTCCCTCAAGTCTTGCTGCCCAGGATGAGAACCACTCTCTCTCTTATCCCAGTCCCATAGACGTTGATGATTTACAAGACCATGTATCTACAGTTAATGTAGTTAGAGAGACCTGAGGGGGCTAACACAATGGCTAGAAAAGCCAACTCTTTTTTTTTCTCATTTGAAAAGCCAACTTTTAAGCTTACAACTCATGCCTATTTCTGGTTTTCTGTCCCTTTCTGTTCTTCATCTGAAAGTTTAAGCCTTTAAAATTTTAGAAAGCTTTTTTTTTTAGAAAGCTTTTTAAAATACAAAAAAAGAGCAAGGTTTGTGGAGGGAAAGTTTAAAAAAATATCTTAAGAAGGCAGCCAGCAATTTCTTTTACCATTTCTATAGACATGGTATGTCAGGATAGTGTTAGGAAACCATGGCATTATTCATCTCGACCTGTAGTTTTCAACTGGTATTTATCAACCTTCTCCAAGCAATTATAATATGGAGGCAAGTTTAAAATCCATTTATCTAAGCGGCCCAGGACAAGATTCCTCAGAAATACCTAAGTGTGACTGAGATAGAAAAAGGCTGAGAAGCTTGAAGAGGCCAGAGGTTAGATGCAAGAGATAGGTCAGTGGCTTTTATGAGTGATGACTGAGGCCTGAGCACAAAAGTACCTCAAATCCTGAGCACACATCTCACATGCTTGTTAACTACCTAGTCTAAGTCTCAAGACCGATACAGTGTGTGAGAAAATACCCAAGTAGTTAAATGTGAGTTAAGTGTGTGTGTGTGTGTGTGTGTGTATATATATATATATATATATGCCTTTTTTTGCATACCTGGATTTGTTGTTCTTGTTAATTGTCGTTGAGTTGTAGGTGACTCATAGCCACCTTATGAATGAAAGACCTGAGAGTTTGTATAACTTTCACCATTTATCCAAGTTCATTGGGTTTCCAGAGGCAAGTTATTTTGGAAGTAGCTGCCACTCCTGCTTTCAAGCTTGTTTTAATCAGGGAACTCCACCAAACACTGTCTACCATGGGCAACCATTATTGCATTTGACACATCAATGTCAGTGTTCAGCATCACAGCCACCACAAGTTACCTCTGTAGAGCAAATGGTGAGATCAGTGCTATACCACTTAGAAGAATGACCAAAATTAATTAAAACAAGGCCTGAGGGACGCAGATTAAATTCACCCAGCTTTGGCTTGGTAGCATCACTTTCTGTCCACTAGGCCAACTGAGCTCTCCCTATGTTGTTGACTCATGGCAAACCTATGAAATTTAATCCATATGCACCTTGAAACTAACTCACTAACCAATATTAAATTTAGACAAATAGAAAGACTATTGCAACAAGATAGATGAAGTAGAAACAATTTCTCTAGAAAGAACCAACAAGATAAATCTCAGTTCCTGAAATTTTACCCTATATTCAGCATCTAATGTTTTAAGTAATAATCTTATGAATCTACCAGTGCTACACCTTTTGCTCTTTGATCATCTGGCTAGCAGGATAACATGCCTCATTTAAATTGAAGAATCTTAGCAAGGCTAATTACCTCTTCTGGCGAGACAAAGACTAAGACAAATGGACCCATGGCAACCTTTAAGCATATATTTTGCTTGTTTTGACATCTTGCTTATTTTCTTGTCTAAGACAAATGAGTCCATATCAACACACTCAATGCTAACAGTACAACAGAAAAAAAATATCAAGCTATACAAAATTATTATTATGTTGTTGTTGTAAATTAGAAAGCTTATATTAATATTTACTGTCTTGAATTGTCTAAAAATAAAAAAAAAACATTTAAAAATCAGTCTGGAAAATTGATTTTTACTAATATTTAAAGAGAATGACACTTGGTAATATAAATATGATATTTACATTTTAATTTATGTATTTAAATTTTTACTGATGTCTTATATTACCAAATTTTGACTTACTGAAGTCTTTATCATAGTTGTTAAGAGTGAAATGAGGGTTTGATATGAAGACAATCTTGAGTCATCACTGTTTCAATGTTGTAGATTTTCAGGCAATCTTTTCAGAACAGAAATTCACTCTCAAATTTACTCCACAGTTAAAGTATCCACATCAGTCTAATGCTACTTCATATTTTATGACAAGATTAAATATAGAATAAATATTTATTGAACAAACTTGATGCTTACATTGTAGTTGTATCTTGTAAATTAAATATTCCTTTTCTTAGAAAATAATCACACCATTTGAATAAATAACAGTGAATAAATATTGATTCCCAAGATATTAAAAAACTCTTTTGTAATCTACAAGAGTAATCTTATCCCACAAGCATTTTCTAGCCCCATCAAGACCAACCTACTACAAACAGACATACACTTTTAACCCTGATGTTATTATGAACAAATAGGGGGTGAAAACTAATGTAATGACTTATGCAATTCAAGAAAAACAAATGTATTAGCCATCCTTGTTTATTCTGGAAGGGGGAAAAAGGATTTACTTTGGCCTAACTACCAGAATCATTACTTCAATTTTTCAGTTTACTCCTTCTCTCTCATACCATGCCATCAGTCAGAACCTGCTCATAGCTCACCCTCCAGCAAGTTTTCAGAGGCTGCCAATTACAGAAGAATTAACCAAGGGATAGAAACCATTCTTTTAAATACATAAGCCCTAGTTCCTCATCTGGATTGTATTTCCTCTTGAGAATGAAAGAGTGTTCATAGGCTTCTATTAATGTGTCATATCAAAGACAGGTGCTTCTATTTGTTTTTAAGTGGAGAATAAGGTATGAAAAATAATACTTTTTATTTATAAAATGTAATTTGAAAATATAATTGCTAGAGAGTATAACAGGATAAGTTAGACCCTTGAAAACATCTTAAACACTCAATGAGAAATAAAGTGTTTCCTTAGTGTTTTCTTTTAGAGAAAATAACCAATGCTTTCATCGGATGAACAATTCCATGTTTTGACAAATTAAATGAAACATCATCTTTTAAACACATTTTTTTCAAGATAAGTGCTAAAAATAAAATCACCATTTTAACTATTAATATGTCCATTTTAGAAATAAATTGGATGACAAAATCAGTAAACATATTTTTGAACATCTTTTTTTCCATTGCATTGCAAATGTCAACATTATTTATATTTATTAACAGATAATATATGATCCATTAATAGTATTCAATAATTGTTCTTTTTTCTGGATATTATTGATTGTAAACTGACAATTGAAATAAAGTTTATTTGAGTAAAAAAATAATAAATGCATATTAGTCATAATGTCCAAAGTAAATTATTTTGAATAATACAAACGACAAACCACGATCAATATCTCCATTTAAACTGATTCATAGAGCAAGTTCTCTCTCTGCCTGAATTACTTACAGTGTCTGGCAGGAATTTGTAAAACTACAATTAAATATAATCCATAGTTCAAGCTGGAAGCAAGTGTTAGACATAGCTGGTGGAGGTCCTACTATTCGCTGTCATGTTTCTTGGTTTATTTGGCTGTGGCACTGCGTATCCAGGTGCTGGATATCTGAACCTTTTCTTCTTTCGGTTACAACAGCAAAATCCACAGAGCAGACCCCCTCCAATGAAGAGGACAGCCACACTTGCCCAACCAAGGAAAAGTGCCACTCCAAGCTCTCGTTTCTGACTTGTGGGGACCGCTGGATTGTAGAAATCCCGGATGATAATATTGGCTGTCCAGCAAACCGGAATCAAAACGAAGATTCCTGTCAGGATGAAGAGAACTCCAGATGTGCCTATGAGATACACTTTGGCCCTCTCATTAGATCCTGTGCACTGGAGCTGCTTCATGCCACAGATGCCTATCAGTAGGGCAATTAAAGAGAGAGCAACAGCCACACACATGAGAGCCCGAGCTGCTTCCAGGGCAGGTGGAAGTGCCAGTAAAGAACTATAGAACTTGCACTGAAGTCTGACTCTGGCTTGTCGGATGCAGTTCATCCAGAGCCCTTCCCAGATCTTTTCAAAGACAATAATGTTGCTGTCAATAAAAGCTGAGACTCTCCACTGAGGCAAAAGTGTGGTGGCAAGAGTCCCAACCATGCCAACAAACCCAAGAACCAGTCCAGCGATTTGCAGGGGATAAAATGCCATCTCTTTTACCTAGAAGACTGATCCAAATTAGAATAGCAGATGATGCTCAACACACAGGATCCAGGGGTCTCTTGGGGTCTACAGCAATTTCTGATGATCTTCTCTGCTGTTAAGGCCCATAGTGTTTTAGTCCAAATCAGTAACAGCAACTGAGCTGAGTCTAACTAGAAGTACTTGCTGTAAACGCATGTTGCTTTGTACACACACACTCATTCATTTTTGTATGGATTATTTACTAGTCACACTTAATTATTTCCCAGCCAATAAGAACCAGCCAGAGGTGTGTCAAGAAATACTACATTCAACTTGAGTATTTCTCAGATCATTATTGTCTTAGTAAGGTTCTAATTAAGTCAAAGCTTTCATTGTGGATTCAGTTAATGACAGAGCTAAAACCTTCCTGCTTAAAAGATCACACTGACGTAAAATTGCAAATATGTGTTAAGTAACCACTGAAGACAATTCTAAAACTTGGCCAGCTCTTTGGAGAGCAATTAAAAAACACTTTGGATATTACATATACCATTACTTTCTTTTAGTCTAAGTCATCTTTCTTTAATTTAGTTCATCTTCTCTGGCTTAAATAATTACTTCTAGATAGAAAGGCTTGTTTACTACAGGAATTTCAAGACATCTACTAAAATAAATGACTGTTACTTTATAAAATAAAGACAATGTTCAGACTTCACAATTTATTTTTAAGATTTAGAAAGAACAAAAAATTTTTACTTTTTTTTAGTTTTTACTTTATAAATTGATTTGGATACATTGGCAAACCTATATTATCTCTTAACTAACATCTTTCATCTAGTAAAGCAATATTTAAGATATAAAATTTCATTAGATTTATCAATAACAGCTTAGAATATATTATTTTTATCAAATACAGGACTTTGATGATTGATATGCAGCTATTTAACAGCCCTTTGAATTATCTGGACAATCATTTAAAATTAAAACAATAGAACGTTTTTTTTCCAGATCTGACAGTAGCACTTCATTCATCTCATTTAATTCCTTCATTTGTCAGAGGTGCCGTGTGAGGCCCACAGAGCAGGTGGCTAGCTGGCTAGCTGGTATGTTTTCCACAAGTAAAGTAGCTCACAGTAGTCACTTCCTCTATCTAGTGTAACCCAATAACTGAAAGGTGGATTTTTTCATACTTTTTTGATATGCATGACACTAACCAGAGCATTGATTTAACATAATATTCTATACAGTTTTCAAAGCAACAAAAATTCTGTTGAGGTATTTCAGAATTTAAGAATCAAGTGACCATCCTAGGCTACCACTTCCTGCCATTGTCCAGAGACTGAAGGGCTTATTCTTTTTGAAAACAAAAATTATAAATTTTAATGAAAATTTACAGACATTTTGAATTTTTATTCATTCATTGTTGCACTTTTTTCCCCCGCCCATCCCTCCCCTACAGTCCTTTCTTCTCTTTGGAAAGTAAAAGAAAAAATTCTTCTGTTGTTATACAATCCCTCCTGCCAAGTCCACTCCACTGTGTAGGCTTCTTTCTAAGAAATCTTTTGGATTTTTTTTTTCTATTTCATTTACATATCACACCACAAAAGAGCCCTTATCATGGTGAAAACTGCCTTATTCTGAAAAGAGTATACCAAACATATTTTAGCTGAGAGACAGAACAGTTTGGAAAGATAACCTCCATTCCTGACCAGCACCAGTCACAGAAATGATGAGTTAGTTCATCACTACCACTCATGCTTTAATAATACATTTCTTGAATTAGGGAATATAAAAATATTTTCCTTTTTAAATTAGATGGCCCACAGAGATCAAGTAGTTTAGACTTGTCATTTTCTTACTATGCATTTTCATTTTGTATTTATTTGCTTTCTTAGCAGTGTCCTAGGCCACATGAGAACTCCCCTTTTCTAAGGAATGTGAGTCATTGAGCAAACATATGACTTCTGTGCAGTTCAAAGTTTCCTAACACCATTTGGGGAAGAAGGATGTCCTTGGTGTTTTGTTCTGGGTTACTGAGGCTCTGGTGTAAAGCTTCCCACCCTTGCTGGCATTACCTTATCATTCTGACATGTTATTTACAGCTCTTCTTCCTGATTCTATTTTCTCTCATAATTCTATCTCATTCTTATTCTATCTTCAGATTGTCCTGGTAGTCTCCAATAAAGAAAATAAGAATTCTGGTTCTATCCTGTTTATCACAGGTATGTGCATATATGCAGGACACCATAACCTTTATTCTGTCTTCAAATTATCTGTGATAAGGTTAAAGCCAGATGCATAAATCTGATAATCTAGATTGACAGTGGCATCAGGTCCTCCTGGGATTTAAAAGAGGGGCTTCTTCAATTCTATCTAACTAACTAATGTGATTGTTTCATTTGCAACATTAACCTCAAGTGAACAGGAGCAGGGATATGACATCAGAATGGGAAAATCAGAATGTTTATAAAATTCTCATTTTGCCTTACTTCTCTCCTTTAAGTTCAGTGAATGAAAATGTTCGGTCATTGCCCCAATTGTTTTGTATTTTGTGAACAATGAAAAATAATGTCCTATTTCTCTCCTTCAGGGGCCAATACAAATTTTAACACAAAAATATATAAAGAAAGTTTCACTTAGATGTCCACTAGATTGGTTTGAAACTGTCGATTAATATACGTGTCTGATAAAGACTTCAAAGAAATCAACTACTAGCCAAATTTTAGATGTGTGCTTCCACCTTGAAGTTCCAGCAAAGGAGACCTGACAATTTTAATTTTGAAAAAATGAGCCTTTGAAAATTATTCACACTCAATTAGCAGGCTAGTTGTTAGTAACTCTGTCACCACATGTCCTTCATGATTTCTTAGATCCTATTGTTGTTGTTGTTATGTGCAGTCAAGTTGACTACAACTCATAGTGACACTCGGAGCAATAGCTCTGAATCCTGACCTCTCCTGAGCCAATCTCACCATCTCTGACTTACTTGCACCCATTGCCACAGTCACTGTGTCAATACATCTTTTGCAGGATCTTCCTCTCCTGTTCTGACTCTACCTTCCAACCATAATGTCCTTCTCTAAGGACGGGTCTCTCCTGGCAACAGGCCCAAAGTATGAGAGACAGAGTTTCAAAATTCTTGCCTCCCAGGGGAGGCCTAGTTTCACCCTCTCCAGAGCAAACTTACTTGTTCCCTAAGCAGTCCTTGGAATGTTCAATACTATTCTCCAGCACTACATCTCGAAGATATTGATTCTTTCTCTGTAATTCTTTGTCATTGTCCAGCTTTCAGATGCATAGCAAGGAAGTGAGAAGATAATGGCCTAGACCAAGTGTACCATGGACTCTAGACTGACATAATTGCTCTTTAGCACTTTTGAAAGGTCCCTGACAGTAGTCTTTCCTAAAACAATTAACCTTTTGATTTCCTGGCTGCTGGTGCAAAAGGTGCTGATGGTGGATTCGAGCCAAGATGAACTTATTAATAACCTCAGTCTTTTCTCCATCTATCATATTGCTGCCATTTGTCCCAGTAGTGAGTATATTTGTATACTTGATGTTGAGGTGCAACTTAAGTTGAAGACTACAGTCCTGTACTTTCTGTAGGAAATGCTCCAAGTCTATCTGTTTTGGCAAGCGAGGTTGTATCATCTGCATAATACAAGTTGTTAATAAGAATTCCTCCAATCCTGATGCCACATTCTCTTTCATAAATTCCAGCCTCCGGAATGATCTGTTTGATGTATTTATTGAAAAGATATAGAGAACGTATACATCCTTCATGCATTCTTTTCTTGATTTTGAACCATGCACTGTTCCCTTACTCTGTTTGTATGACAGCCTGCTGGTCTAGGAATAGGTTCCACATGAACACAATCAACAGTCCTGCAATTCCAATTCTTATCAATGTTAGCCAGAATTTGTTATGATTCACACAGTCAAATGCCTCTGTATAGTCAATAAAACACAGACACACATTTGGTACTGTCTATTTTGAGTCAAGTAAGAGCCATCTGATATTGGCAAAGCTTCCCCTAGTGCCATGGACTCTTCTAAACCCAGTTATGTTTCTGCAATTCTCTGTTGATGTACTGTTTTAGTAATTTTTGAGCAATATTCAGCAAGATTTTGCTTGCATGTGATATTAGTGATATTGTTCTATGATTTCCACACTCTGCAGAGTCAACTTTTTTGATAATCGAAATAAATATAAATTCTTCCAATCAGTTGGCCAGGTAACTCTCCTTCAGATTTCTTGGCACAATCTGGTGAACACATCTGTTTCTTGAAATATGTCAATTGGTATAAGGCTTTTGTTTTGCCAATTCCTTCAGAATAGCTTGGACTTCCTTCTTTATTACCACTGCTTCAAGATCACACGTTGTTTCATGAAATTGTTCTGTGCCAGCAAATTCTTTTTGGTACAGTGACTCTCCATATTCCTTCAATCATCTTTTGATGCTTCTTGGGTCATTCAATTTTCTACCCATAGCATCCTTAAGTATTGCAACTTGAGGTTTGAATTTGTTTTTAAATTTCTTCAGCTTGGGAAATACAGCTGAGTTTATCCTTTTTCATTTTCTGACTTCTAGCTCTTTTCATGAATCCTATATGGTCTCACATACTTTGAGTACATTGTCAGGAAGGATTCTTTTTTTGGGAAAAGTCAAAATACTGGGAAAGGGAGAGGAACAGAAAAAGAAAGGAAGACATTTAACAAGATTGATTGTAACAATAGGTTTGAATATATCTGAGAGTGGGAGGAAGGTACAGGTTAGGGCAAGATTCAAATCTACTTTTCATAGGGTTACTATGAGTTGTAGTTAACTCGACGGTACCTAACCACATAAGTCTCAAAGGAGCCATAGTGCTGTAACCGTAAAGTGTGGGTTACTAATGAAATAATCATATTTCAAACCTACCAGCCTCTCAGCAAGAGATAGCTGTGGCAGTTGTTTTTATTATATGCTAGTAGGAGGGAAAGGCCCTCTATGAGTTAGATTGATTCAGTGACTAGGGTAATCAGGATGGGTGTGTCAGAGGCAGC